TGAGATTCATGTTTGACATAGTGAGTCGTTGTACAGACACACTACAGTTTATTTGCTCTTAACATGTGATTTGACAAGAATGAGTTCATTTGACAAGAGATGTAGGAAATAGGCATCATAGTAGTCAAATAGGCCTTACTTGGGCCAATTTGGATGAAAATGAACCCTAAAACGCTGGAATTGCTCCTTCCATGTGATTTCAAGACCAAGGCGCCTATAACTAAGTAGTAATGACATATTATGAGAAAGAATGAGTTAATTTGACAAGATATGTAGGAAATAGGCATCCTAGTAGTTAAATAGACCTTACTTGGGCCAATTTGGACGAAAATGAACCCTAAAACACTTAAATTGCTCATTTCTTGTGATTTCAAGCCTTAGCCGCCTATAACTAAGTAATAATGACATGTTATGAGAAAGAATAAGTTCATTTGACAAGAAATGTAGGAAATAGGCATCCTATTAGTCAAATAGGCCTTACTTGGGCCAATTTGGACAAAAATGAACCCTAAAACACTTAAATTGCTCCTTTCTTGTGATTTCAAGCCTTAGCCGCCTATAACTAAGTAATAATGACATGTTATGAGAAAGAATTAGTTCATTTGACAAGAAATGTAGGAAATAGGCATCCTATTAGTCAAATAGGCCTTACTTGGGCCAATTTGGACAAAAATGAACCCTAAAACACTTAAATTGCTCCTTTCTTGTGATTTCAAGCCTTAGCCGCCTATAACTAAGTAATAATGACATGTTATGAGAAAGAATAATTTCATTCGACAGGAAATGTAGGAAATAGGCATCCTAGTAGTCAAATAGGCCTTACTTGGGCCAATTTGGACGAAAATGAACCCTAAAACACTTAAATTGCTCCTTTCTTGTGATTTCAAGCCTTAGCCGCCTATAACTAAGTAATAATGACATGTTATGAGATAGAATGACTTCATTTGACAAGAAATGTAGGAAATAGGCATCCTAGTAGTCAAATAGGCCTTACTTAGGCCAATTTGGACGAAAATGAACCCTAAAACAACTAAATTGTTCATTTCTTGTGATTTCAAGCCTTAGCCGCCTATAACTAAGTAATAATGACATGTTATGAGAAAGAATGAGTTCATTTGACAAGAAATGTAGGAAATAGGCATCCTAGTAGTCAAACAGGCCTTACTTGGGCCAATTTGGATGAAAATGAACCCTAAAACACTTAAATTGCTTTTTTACATGCATAACCTACAGTATTTAATTCTAAAATACTTTTTGTTTATTCCAAGTTTTGCAAGGTACAAAAGGGAGGTCCATTGATGAGCAAAGAACTTAATGAAGTTCGAGACATGTTGGCGTCCTTCATCACATTTAACTTGTATATATCATTTATATTTGAACTTGTTAACTACATTATTGATTAGTATTGTTTGTAATTATGACACTTTTTCAATTAGTATTGTTTCTAAATAGTATTGCGTTTGGGATTATTAAATAATATCTATGTATTGTTATTATTCCAATTTACAAATTATTATTATTATTATTATTATTAATTATAATATAATAATAATATTTATTATTATTATTATTGTTATATAATATTTGTAGAATGAATGCAGGATGTATGAATTCTCGTTATTATTATTTGTATTAGTATTAATATTATTATTTATAGCCGAAAAAAAAAAAAAAAGTTAAAGGCACCGGTTCAGGCTTCAAACCGGTGCCTATTGTGCTGAAATAAAAAATAAAAAAAAAGCGTGCCATGGGTTTTTGGCACCGGTTAACCGGTGCCAAAGAGTGTATTTAGCACCGGTTAACTGGTGCCATAGCTCTTAATAGCCACCAGTTTTGAACCGGTGCCAAATCTTTAGAGATTTGGCATCCCTCAAATACCCAACGATTCAAAACCGGTACCAAAGAGGGGGTTTGAACCGGTGTCTATTTGCCTTTTTCGCCTAGTGATTTACAATGTATTATTGCTTCATCATCAAGTTAATTATACACGTATGAATTATGCATAATAATATCCGAAACAACTTAGCAATATAATAGTATGAAGAAAACAATAAATCATACAATAAAATACGTACTTTGACCGCGCAATTTGAAGACTACACCATAAAGATTTTTTTTTAATAACCTTAAGGAAATAATAATTAATAATATCAAGAAAACAATAAATTCAAAAGTGTTTTATAGTATATTTACCCTCAGAAATTGTATGATTTGGCCTTGAAATTAAGGTTGAATAATCCCAAATCTTAAAACAAGTCTTAAAATTGCTTGAAAGAATAAAAGTAAAAAGAATTTAATATAAGGACAATTATTCTGGGTAAATTCTAGAATAATATCATTGAAAAAGTGAATTTATCATTAAAAAACGCATCAAACAGTAATTACATCATTCGAAATATAATTATATCATCGTAATAAATTGTTTAAAATATGATAATATCGTTGAAAATATGATTCACAACAAGATAATTATATCATCTAAAAAAGTGATTATATCATCCAGAATGTGACTTTATTATTTGAGAGTGTTAAACTTTGGGTCTACAATAATTTATTGTAGACCAGGTCTATATAAGACCTGCTGTTATTTTGGTATGTGTATAAGGCTAATTATTCAGGACCTATATCGGCCCTTGTCAAATTTGAGTGAAAAAGGAGGTATTTATAAGGAAAAAAAGGTACGGAATAAGTCAATTTATTAAGATTTTTTTTTTGACGGGAATTTATTAAGAATTTTGTTACATACGAAATTTGTAAAAATAAATAAAAATAAAAAAGCGTCTTAACCTTGCGCCTTGGATTTATTGCATTTTAAAAACTTCGTAATTTTTCATCGCGAGCTTGAAATAAGGTATATAATGTATCGTTGGAAAGCACCGAAAGTCTACTTTCAAAATCAATTAGAACTAGATCAATGTCTTTTGAAGAATTTAAGATATGGCCAAAATATACAAAGACGTCGGTTTTGGGATTAATTTAGTTTTTTGCTCATATGTCATTTGTTTTAACTCGAAATTAGGCTTATGTCTAAAATGTTTAATTACTCATTTTTCCTCATTAATGTTAGTTGCCTTTTTTTTTACTCTTAGAATAGTGTGCGGACATTTATACCCCTAAAAATATTAATTTACATATTTTTCCCTCATCAATGATGCCAACAACTAGATTTTTGATATAATTAAGGTCAAACCGAAAGAGTTCCCAGGATATAATTAGATATGAAGTGCGCATCGCTCGCATTAGCCGCCCTATTCATTAACTAGAAAGTTTTGGAAAGTAGTATAGGTGAGTTATGCTTTTATTTTTATTTTTATTTATTTTATTTTTTGTTTTCTTTTAACGGAGGTGAGTTATGTTTTAGGTTAAGGTAATCTTAATAGGCTAAGGAAATGGTTTGGGCTAGGAAATTATGAAAATAGGCTATGGTAAATGAATTTAGGCTCGTTTCGTGACTTAGTCCAAATAAGGCAATGATGCACATTTCAATCATCGAACATTACTTGGGGAGACACGATTTGGTGCTTGTAGGTTGCCTTGAATCCCATGCGTGAAAGACTCAAGTAAGGAACTTCATTTGTGATTACTTCACATTAGGATTCCTAATTCGTGTACAAGAGGTTTCATTCATAAGTATTGCAATAGTTTATGGAAACATGTGTAGGAAATCGTATAATCATGACATTTAGAGACATGAAATCGAATTAGGGCCCTCGGGATTTTCAAATATTACTTGTGCCTTGGACGATTATTAGGGTGAACTCTAACGATGATACAATCCAATGCTTATGATTAAATGTGTTTAATTTATTTTAGAAATAAGTTATTGAGATTACTAGGTGCTTTTTTTAATGCTTAATTGTTGTTATAAAGTTGAATCCAAATTTTGACAGAGTTTTGGCTTCTCAGCAAAAACTTTTGAACTTCCAAGTTTAGGAAATTGTAAGGAATCCTAGCATGCGTCAACTGCCACATAAGGGATGTCTGGTGCACAATAAGTACACAACACTTGCGACTTGAAAATTCTTATTGAACATGTTTCACACTTGTGTGTAGGATCATGTGTGTGTGTGTGTGTTAGACACATGGTTGTGCATGTGGTGTACACACCTAGCTTACACCACCTCATTTATAGGTTTTCTTAAGCATGGAGGCTTAAAGTTTTCGGAAGTTACTGGATGTTTGGCCATAGTTTAGGTCTATTGGAAATCGTTTTGGGTTCTAAAGGCTTGTGAAAGGTTGATGTAGTTTTGCGATGTTGTTTTTGGGTTTGTCTTTTGGATTTTGGGCCTCAATTTTGGGCTTAAAGAATTTATTTTTTGGTCTTTAGGGTTAGGTGATAAATTTTGGAGGTTGAAGGCATAGATTGGGCACTTAGCAATGTTATTGCTCGCTTGAGTCATGCCCGATTAGCAAATGATGACTACGTCATCTGATGCTAATTAAAAGGAAAGACACTTTTTAGGTATCTACAAAAGAAAGCAAACAAATATGCGATATGCCTAGCATTAAATTTGGGAGCTTAATTGAAGTTTCCAAATATACTAAACCATTCGTGCATTCGTGTATGAAGACTAAATGCTTTTTAAAGTACTACTCTATCAGTTTCATTTTTGGAAAAATGTTTAAGCACTCTAAATGTAAGTTCTAGGACCCTTCTACAAATTTTTTATTAATGACATAAAAGCGCAAATTTTAAGGCATGTTGAGAATATGGAAAAATATATTATTATTGAATATAGATCTTATGATATTAAATTTAAGATAATAATATATCTTGGTGATATTCTAAGATAGATTTATGGTAATTAGATATTTTCTAGGATTAGGAAAGTTTACATATGGTAGAGTTTTATATTGTTTGGGTTATGTTTTGTAGGTTATATATTTTGGCCATTATCATTAATACTACTAACTCTTTCTCCCTCCTCTCTTAAATCCTCTATTCTCTCTCTTCGTCTGTTTCATGTTTCCCCTTAGAACCCTAGGAGCTCACCGGAGTTCCGACGCCGCGGCCGTACTTCGGCGAGCCTCCTCCTCCACTTTTCTCCTCTTTCTGTTCTCTTTTAGTTTGTGTTTCTATTGGCGTTTTCTCACACAAAAAATTCGGCGCCCTCAACTTTGATTTCGAAGATTTACTTTTTCAATTCCAAATTAAGGTGTTCTTGTGAGATTTATCCCGGTTAAGAAGACAAGGGACAAGTTTTTTTATTCTAAAGGTACCGTAGAAGCTTTTCGTGACAAAGGAATTAGTCGGTGAAACAAGGTCTAAGGGCTAGCTAGATCTAACGCCACCCTCAGTAATCATTGGTTTTTGATTATGATGGAAACGGTAAAGTTATAGTTAGGGTTTTGAGGATCCTTGCGCTGGGGGCCTAGGCCTAATGTCACTGTCTTGAGTGGTTCATGATGGAAACGGTAAAGTTAGGGTGAAGGTTTAGGAGTTCTGGTTTGCGGTACTAGTCGTTTGGCTCTACCTCTGGTTTGTTTTCTATTTGTTTTTTCTTAATCTCTTTATTCTTTATTTATTTTATCAGAGTTAATTTTGTTTTTAGCTTCATAAAGTTTCTTCTTGTTTAGTTGTTTGGTTATTTGGGCTGTTACTTTTCTAAGTTTTTTCTCATTCCTGGGGGGGCTACTTAATTGGAAGTATGTGGGGTTTGTTTTCCACAAATCAAGGCTCTTTTCTTGTTGTTTTTATAGGTGGTTAATTGAAAGTTTGCTAATTGTTGGTTTTGTTAGGGTATACCCGTGGTGTAGTGTTTTTACATTGGTGGGTTTCCTGTTTTATGTGTTAATTCTGGGGTTTGAGCTGGAGGGGTTGAATTTGCGAAGGGGATAGGATTTTATATAATTGTTCTTTGTTTTGATGTGGTATTAAGAGAGCTAAATAGTTATGTTTATGTTGGGAGTATGAATAAGAAGTCGATCATGGTTAGAGTGAAGTATGTGTTTTGTTGGAGTGATAATAGGTGTTACTCCTTTCCTTTGATTGTAATGATTTCGGTGATCATTAATTCAAAAAATTCATATCCGAAGCAGGTGCCCAAACTTTGTGTTGGGGATTCTCGAGCCTCGACGATATCAAAGCTTTCTTGCCAACAAGAATAGCTAGTGAGTGGAAGGTCTTTTTTTCAAATGACCAAAGTGAAGGACTTACCCAGTGATGATTGTATTGTTGGGTTTCGTAGCATCCAACACTACGCGGAAGAGAAACCCGCCCAAGACCCACCCACTAATTAAAGCAACTAAGCATGCAATCACATAATTAAACAACAAAAGAAAGAGAAAGGGAAATGACATTCTTACCCTCGATGCGTGCTTCACTCCTATAAAAATCGAACTTCAAAGCCTTAGCTCCGTAAGCGCGAGAGCCTCCGACGAAGTCCACCCTCGAGACCCGACCCGAACAGCTTCTACCCCGAAGGTTTGTCGGGGCTAGACCAAGAAAATACTAGAGTATTATGAACTTAAAGGTTTTATCACCTATAGGGAGATGCCTTATTGAGTTCAACTCAAGTGATTTTTCCTAAACTCAAAACTTGGGTATTTATAGGGAAGGAAGCCTTGATCTCCCCTTCTCCCATCAATGTGAGAAAATTGCATTTTTCCACCAATTTATTTTAATCCAAAACAAATTAAAATGCAAAGAAATCAACAAGCTCCAAATGGCAATAGGGTGAGCAAGTGTAGGTGAGGACCACTCAAAGGGGACCAATACTCCTTGCTCACCAAGCAAAGCCACCAAGAATCGGTCCCAACCTAAACTCAAGAGCAGCCCATCCATAGCTGGTAGCCAGCCTGCCTTGGCTGCCAAGGCTGCCTAGCTGGCGCCTGGCACCTTAGATTGGCTGGCTAGCCAGCTTTCATACACATGTACGCAGTCAGCAAGCTACGCATGCAATGCGGGCTGCTGCTGCTGCGTAGCGTATGCTAGGCGCTACCTGGTAGCTGCTGCTTATGCTAGGCGCTGCCCAGCACACAAGCATGCAGAGCCTCAGCACATAGTATGCTACGATGCCCAACATGCAAGCATGCACAGCCACAACACATAGCATGTTGTGATATTAGTGCGATGCTGCGATGTGTGGCTGATGTGCAAGAGGCTGCGAGGTGCATTAGGCTACTATCCTAGCACACATTGCCATAACACAGCACGCATAGCGCGCTGCTGCTATGCTTGAGCTAGCAATGTTGCGGCTGGGTGCGTGGCCCAGCACACTAGCATGCTAACATGCTTGCGGTCTTGTGAACCAGCCTAGCTTGCTAGCATGCTTGCGGTATGCCTAGTGATGCGCATGGCATCTTAAGCTAGCCTAACACTCGCCTTGCTAGGCAAATGTGACGCTACGACTTAGCTCGAACTTGTCGCTTACTTGATTTCTCATCTCGTCAAATTCTAAATTCAACTTGACTTACGACGCTCGATTTCGACGCTCTAAGCTCGACATCCGACGTCTTCGTTCGTAATACTCTGATGAATAATCATATCCTTCAGATTAATTTGTCGCCTCAGATCAGTTAGTCGATTTGGTGTGACCCAAAGGGTTCAGTCAAGATTAAGTTGTAATATTAATTATACATTAATATTATTGATCAAAAGCGGCCTCCACCTAGGCATTCCGATCACTTGACCTCACTGAAGAATTAGCTTTCTAATAATTCTGAACCCTTTATTGGAATAATACACTTGTTGGAAGGACACCATTCCTTTCAATCCTCCACTTGTCCTTCCGGACAACTGTGCAATTAGTGTATAGCCCATTTCCTATGTCACTTAATGTCTCTTCTTGAACTTTAAGGTAAGATTCTTCGTCATCCTTATTACATCCAGATGTGTTTCTTGATTTCCGAGTTCGACTTTCAATAAGCAGATTATTTCAAAAATTCATCTGAGCACAACCATGCATTTTCACAGTCTCACTCTTTGAGAGGCCTTGTAAACAACAAAGACATGTTCCCTATTGTTAGTAGGGGGACATTCCCAGTCTTGCATTGTTAGCTTCCCTTACTAAGAGGACCTAGTCGCCCGAGTGTTGTCGTTATAATCCCCATTTACGGCAGACGTTTGACAACATCAAAAAGGACTAGTACTCAAACAAGAGAACTTACAATACTCATGATCGAGGAAAAAGGTTCCGATAGCTATAATGAGAAATATACTTATGACAATTTTAAATCTCTTAAAGTATTCTCATAGGTCGGTCTAGTATAGTTCTAAACCATTACCTGTGCGAATGATTTATGACAATCATGTCCTTGTAGCACAAGAAACGGTGGTATAAATCATAGTACACACTAATCTCAAGTGGTCATTAATCGTCCATCATTTAAATGACCTTGATTAGGGATAATTTTTTATTGTAATATTCAATGTTCACTTAACAGGTGTTTCTTTATCCAATACATGGTCTTGATACCCTGTTTTGAATATTCTTAGAAATCGAATGGACTCATTATTTAATTCTAAACCACAATTAAATAGATTGTGGAATTTTATTAGTAAAATTTTATTCCACCATGAAACTTTTCAACGTTTCATCCTATGATAAATGGTATTCCCCAAATGTTTCAAGAGTAACACTCTTTATAAAACATTTATAGAAATCACACCCATATTTAATATGCTTTATTTCTTTCATGCAATTCCGGTGAATGTTGTCGTTCACTTATTGCATAGGTTTAGCTACTACTACTTTTCAAATCTTAGCATTTTCATTATTGAACAATTTCATAATAAGATGATAAAATTTTCAGAGTGTGATGGATCATATTTAGGCTTTATTGTCCAAGTGATGGCTCCCACTCATTTTCATGATTTGAGATCTTTCAACTTCACAACCTATAATCATCAACGTTCGACAACAAACTTTCCATTGAACACTTTCTTATTATTGCCTTCCAGGCAACAATATTCTCAACATATATTTCAGTAGACTTTCTGATGGTGCTTTGCTCGGATTTCATTCCAAATGGCTCACAATGATTTGGGAGACCCTATTCACTTGTGATTAGGGAAATTTACCTTAAATTTCTGCACATTATACATGGATGTACGTCCATATTACCATTCTCAAGCCACGATGCATTCTAGCTCGTGCTTATAAATGGCTTCCTTATTAAGGATCTAATCCTTTCTAAGGATGTGCTTGCAACATCAATTCTCAAATTACATTTGTTTCCATACGTCAAGAACTCATCCCTTCTACTTATCCAAGTACTTTGGATGTTCTTGATCATAATCTAACGATCCATTACTTAGATTTAAATTGATTGGTATTTGATACTTCTCATGCTCTAAGCATGTAAGTTGAGTGACGACTCCATATCATAGCACACATGATGGTTTCCATTGCAGAATTATTTCCAATTTATTCCATTCATGTGACCTTTTAGCTCATCCAGTTTCACCGAGTCTTGCTAAACTGTTTGCTATATGATACGGTTGAAAGTTTCTCCTAGAGTCTTTCTTGTTTGATTTAGTATTAGCCTAGCTTATACTTAGTTTAAACATTTACTTAGTTTTATACATATGGGTTGAAATCCTTTCAAAATCCTTCATGTTTAACATGGTAAATTCCTCTACTCGTTTAAACATTTCATTAAGTCTATCCAATAGATCTTAATTCCCACTATGTACTAAGTATAGCCTTTTGCTTGGTCCATTATCGAAAATCCTTTAAAATCTAACCATTTAGCATTTCACAGTCATTTCACAATAGAGTTCGTAAACTTCTTGTTGGACCACACAAGATTGACTCTTACTCCCACTAAAATTTTTGTTCATAAGAATTTCTATGATTCTCCATAAGCCAAACCTTTTATTAACTTTATGAGAATACATGTTCCAATTTCTACATGCAATGCTTCACTTAATCCCACAATGGATTTCTTGAGTTTGCTTTCAAATCTAGCATTATTTAGATTCTCAAAACCCTTAGACTATTTCCATAGTCTCTTCCTAAAATCCCATTTTAGAAAGGCAGTTTCGTTATTTATTTTGCCATATTTTATATGCGCAATTTTGCTAGAATAATCACGAAAAGACTTAAGCGTTCCGATTGGTGAATAGGTTTTTATTAAAATCAACGCCGTGAATTAATTGTATCCTTTTCAACCAATCTAGCTTTGTATGCACTATGCATTTCACATTTGTCAGTTTTCTTCTTGAAAACTTATTTGCGATTGATGGGTCTTTCACCCTTCATGCAAATGAATCAAGTTCCAAACATGATTTACAAACATGGAGTTTATTTCGGATTTTATGGCCTCTAACCATTATTCGAAATTTGGATTAGTCATAGCTAATTTACAAGACACTTATTCCCTCACCATCCAATGGTAAATAGTATGCTTGTAAGTCTTAGGTTTATTTCTAACTTAATAGAAATTTATAGGATTCAATTTAAGCCTTAGGTGAATTCTATACCTATACGGGTAATTGCATCAAACACTGAGTTTCAAGGTGCTTTTAAAGCCCTT